GCAACTATTCTCCATTTTGAATTCTTGTAGTTGGATATGATGAGATTACCTCCTCTAGAACATACTTCGATTAAAGATCCAACCATGGAAAATGAAGATATGAGGAATTTTCTTTAGGATACTCATTGTCGCGCAATATTGTTTTTTGATGCAGGGCGTTTTCGTAATTTTTTTAATTTTAAGGGTATTTTAGTAATTTGCCATTTAAAAAAATATTTTAGTATTTTTTTTATAATCCAAAAAAAAAATATATATATGAAACTTCTTTTACCATTTGTTGGTCATATTTCCCTTATGGATCATCTTGAAATTCCTTGGCAAGGAGTTAAAAATCCTATAAGTTTCTTAAAATTAGAAAAAGGACATTTACGCCTTTTCGATCCTTTTCCAAAGGTCTTGATTTTCGATAATTACTGAAGTTACTTTCTTAGGACCCATGTCCTTGATTGAATCCCTTCCTTTCTTTCCTTAGATTCTTCAAATCTTACTTGGGCGACTTAAACTTACTTGAGTTACGTTCATCTTATCTTATTACTATATTGATTCTGTAATGAACAATTTATTTATGGCCTAATCATAAACTAAGTCTCTCTCAAACTAGCAAGGGAGTGAGACTCCGGTATTCAAAATTATACTAATAATCTTGGATTACTAAATTAATTAACTAATTATGAAACTCGAAGGCATAAATCTCAACAGTGAAGAGATCACGATCTATTGAGAACATTCAGATAAGATACGATCTCATAGGAATTAGGTTAAGGATTTGATTTTTCGAAACTTCTACAATTGATTTCTTCTCGTTTATTGATGATTTTTTTTTTTTTTTTTTTTAATTCTTGACCATTTAGGTTCGTTCTAAGAATACCTACAACTTTGTAGAAGAATTTGAAAGCTATTGAGGCAATAATTGAAGGCTTAGAAATGAGGCAAACAAGTAGATGAGAGAATGCAAGCGACCGAAGCTTGAGGTAGGAGACAATCAATCTAGTAGGTTCGGTTCAATCTAACTCAGTTGGACCGGTTAAGTCGATCTAATCGAATCAAGTTTGCGTATTGCTTGTAGTATATAATTGAGCATGATATAATATTGAATGTTGTGGATGATTTAGGATCTAATTCACTATTATTTTGCTGAAAACATGATGTTGGTAGAAATATTCCCATGTCTTTGTCTTTATTGCTTTATTGAATATTATGTGACATTGAATAGATTACGAGCATGTTAGGGGTCCATGATTAAGTCGATTTACTGTGTCTCTATTTGATTATGTGAGTTATGCTTGATGTGAACATGTTGTTATATGGAAACGCTTAGTGATTCACCAACTAATTCTTATTTGTGAACTTGTCTCGATTGTAGAAGTCCACATAGTACTTTTAGTAGCTCGTTATGATGTGAGGACTATTAGAGGGTTGCGAGTTAACCTTTAATAGGAAATCCATCCCGATGGGATCTGTATTTATATCTTTATGATTATGAGTTGGTATGAATGAGGCTGAGCCTTGTGATGAATGAACCTTTTAGTTCCATATAAGTACGGTGTGGGGGCGATTAGGTGATCTTCATTCCTTAGTTGTAAACTTGTTTAGATGAGGGCAAGAGACTACATAGGATCTGTCTCGATTGATTGTGTACATAACGACAGTATGAGATTATGAGTTGGAACCATGATGAGATCTCCACTTCTTAGTTGTAAACTTGTTTAGATGAGGGCTAGGAACTGCATAGGATCTGTCTCGATTGATGAAAGTAAGAGATTATGAGTTGGAACCATGATGAGGTTGCGTGATAAGATAAGGAATCAACTACAAGGGGAATAAGATTCGGATTACCTTGTTGATCGAATATCTCAAGGCAAGAACACTTGATTGAGATTCGAATCACTCCACAAGCAAGATCGATCATGTCTAGCTTGAATGATTCTTGTTGATCAAATATCTCAACGCAAGAACACTTGTTTGAGATCCGAATCACTCCACAAGCAAGATTGATCATGTCGAGCTTGAATGATTCTACATGCAATCTAAACTACATAGAATTGCAAAGAGGCTAAAGAAAAGCACAAATGCTTCTTTTAATATATTTTCCAAGTCTGCCTTACAAATACAACATACATGGCTTTATATAGCCTAAAAAATGAAACTACTAAAGGTATTTCAAAAGTTGTAACATTCCTACGGCCATAATTAGCCATTATGTAAATGTAACCCAAATTAAATAACAAGTCTTAAAATACAATAACTCTAAATTACTCTAAATTGTAACCCACCCAAAATTTACAACAATCAAACTTCATTCTTCTTCAATGTAGCATGAATTGAAACATCTTTTTAATAATTTTGACAACCTTTTCTTCACATCTTCATTGAAGTATATTGTATGATTGATGTTTCTTGGTTCATATCATTGCGTCTTAAGCGCCTACCGTGTACAAGTTGATTATGATTGAGGGACTAATAATCCCGATGAGATAAATGAGCTTCGAGGGCCAAACAACGAGAATCAATAAACTAATAAAAACTCCAATAGGTTAAATAATAAGCTATGAAATTGTAAAACCGAAACCTTAAGTTGAGCTTGGATGAGCTAGTAAAGCTTATATTTAGTCGAGGAAAGCCTATGAATTAAAAATGCAACATCATGTTATGTAATAGGACGTAAATGATTTAATGAAAATTAATGACATATGACTTAGAAATGAAGTTAGAGCTTGCAAGTAAGCTATTTTCGGTTATTTTTATATTCATCCATACTATCTTATCATTTTTAGATGGAAACTAAGTTGCACGGTTGAGGTAAGGGTTTGGACGAGCTATGGGATTATAGGGGTCGAGATAGATCCAAATCTTGGTTTCCGAATTTTGAGGATTTTCATGTAATTGTTTTGATTCTACGTTTTGTAAACGATGTCCCCTAATGTCTTTTGAATAAACCCTTATCTGGAATTATATTTAATGCATGCATGTTTTAAATTGATCAAAATTATCGATTTCAACGTTAATTTATAATGATTGGTGATTAGTTTTAGAGTCATTACACTAGAAAGTTGACTCACTAAGATTTTAAGAAGAAGGTTTTAAAAATCAGGGTAGAGATATTTTTGAAAGAGAGAGTTTGGAAGAAAGATTGAAAGAAGGTTTGAAAGCAATGTTTTAGGTTATAAGCGAGAAAGACAACACAACGACTTAAATAACATACAACTCTCAGGAAGATTTGACAACTAGTCGCATCCCCCTGTCATTTTGAGACGATTTAGTTCTAGCAGGCCTATACATAATTTCGTTGGACGGCCATACAAACAGAAAATACTATTGTAAAGCTATACAACATAAAATCAAATAAAGGGTTTGACGTGACATGGGCATGTAGCCATGGTCAACACACCCTTGACGAACATGACTGTGACACATAATACCTAGTCAAGTTGTTTCTTAATAGACGGTAAAAGAGAGACATATTAAGAATTTGTATCATAATTTTAAAGACAACCTAAGGGGAAAATAAAGAAAACATGCCGAGTATGATTTAAGATAATATTATTTTGTTGGCCATTTTTTATGTTTGACCATTTAGTATTTTGTCGAGTTATGAGGAAAGATTTTAATTTTTGACTTGGCGAGATTTTGTTATATTTTGTACTTTAACCTAAAATTTTAGGTCTTATTTGGTTGCCCAAAAAAATTGGTATGAAAAATGGATAAATTGAGGCAAAAATGAGAACATCAATTTGAAATAAAAATGAAGGGCCTCTATGTAATTTTAAAATGAGGGTATTGAGAGTAGTACTAAGAGATGGAGTCGAAGATATCGCTCATCACCCATATTACAACCACTACTCCTGGGCTATGTAGCCGTAGTGAGTTACTTTGTGACACATACATATGTCACAGTGAGGGTGAATGTTGTAAGACGAGTGTTTCAAGTGACTTCTTTTGAAATGGATCTTTCAAGGACGCTGTCAGGTGCTGACATTGTGCTCTAGCTCATGTGTCAAAGATTGAAATATGGACATGCTATCTAGTACGGTAGACATGAGGGGGTCCTTGCCTTGGTAAAACTCGAATTGATATGTAGGACACATGGGTTCGTTCTCGATAAACATGTCTGATTAAGTTTCAATAGCTAATGACATCCCGAGATTTGGGTTGACATCAAAATATGTTGGTCGTGTTAATAGAGACCAAAATGACAAGAGGAGTTCTAACGATGCATGTGAGAGACCTTAGCCCCAAGTATTGGCAAGGTCGAGCCATATAACTTAGCCTAGTATAGAGGCAAGTCAATTAAAGTTCTAGACGATTGAATATACACACCAAACAACATTTCTAACCAAATAAGCTTAGATTTCGCACAAATTGTATTTTGTTAGGGAAAACAAACCTCGTTTAAAGTCTAACGAAGCCACAAAATCGTACGAAAAATGTATATAGAATAAATTTTTTTTTTACAACTTGTCATAGGCATGTCGAGATCATGATGCCCCACAATTAAAAAAGTACAACCTTAACACTCATCACCCATCGAAAAATGAAAGAGAATAAGACTACACCAGAAATATGTTATTAAACTAGGGACTAAAAATGTAATTTCCAATCATATTATAAACCAATGAAATTACACTAATGATATTGTACTTTAGTAGTAACAAAAAAGGCAAGCTAAAAAGAGGCTTTCTTCTTCCTCCTTTTATTATTAATTATTCATTTTATTTTAGTTAGCAAGTTGTTGGATAAAAGACCTTTATGCTGCCCATATCTTTATACACAAATTAAGATGAAATTATGGGGCCTAAAATGAGAGTAGAAAGAAATTAAAAAAAAAAAAAAAAAAAAAAGGAAAAATGGAATAGCAAAGGGCAGGGCAGGGCAGGGCAGGGCAGACAGGTGGTGGACAGCAGTCGTTTGGTGATTCGGACCCCTTTGGTTCCGGGACAAAATACCGATGCAAAATTATTGTTTTGTGAAAAAGGGCCTTCCTTTATTATACCCCTTTGACCCCCCTTCTTCTTTTCTCTCATCCCCCCTTTTCCACTGTCACGCACACCACCAAAAGCAAACCAAACCCAACCCCAACTCCCTTTCCCCTTCATTTTAGGTATGCTTTTCCTCCCTTCATCTTGCTCTTCTTTCATTTCTTCTGGTTTTGGCTTCTGGGGTTGCGTTTTCTCCCCCACGGATCTGTTCTTTGCACTGAAGAAGAAGCTTGTGGGTTTCCATTTCAAGATCTGGGGTTTCCTTGTTACCCTTTGAATCTTCTGTTTCTTCTATGTTGTTTCATCTCTATATATATATATATATATATTTCATTTTGATGCAGTTTTCAGGTCATCATTCGAAGGCAGGAGTGTTCTTCATATTGTGTGCTGCTCGATGAATTTTCTCAAATCTGATTTGCTTTAATCCAACTCTTTCTTACCTCTAATGGCCTCAAAATCGGCTTCCAAACCTTCTGCAACTGATCCACTTATCTCTGGAGATGTATTGAACTCCACGCAGAGATCCTTGAATCAGTGTACTTTGAGTGATTCATCAAGCACCAAAGAGATCACATTGACCCAGCGAGATCCTGCGCTTACCGGGACTCGGGGTGTAGCAGAGGACTCTGTGGAACCTGAAAAGAAGACATCAGAATGTGAGAGTGGGAAGGATACGAACAGTGTTGCTAAGAGCAGTGGAAGTGGTAAGATTAGTAACTGTGTGGAGATGGTTGAGAGTGGGAAGAGCAGCGTGTGTCGGGGTAGCACGAGCAGCGATATCAGCGATGAAAGCAGCTGTAGCAGCTTTAGTAGTAGCATCAGTAAGCCTCACAAGTCGAATGACTTGAGATGGGAGGCCATCCAAGCTGTCCGTGCAAGGGATGGGATTTTGGGATTAGGCCATTTTAGACTGTTGAAGAGACTAGGTTGTGGCGATATCGGAAGCGTCTACTTGTCGGAGTTGAGCGGTACTAAATGTTACTTTGCAATGAAGGTCATGGATAAAGGGTCTCTAGCGAGTCGAAAGAAGTTGCTTCGTGCTCAGACCGAACGAGAAATACTGCAATCTCTTGATCATCCATTCCTGCCTACATTGTATACTCATTTCGAAACTGATAAGTTCTCATGCTTGGTGATGGAGTTCTGCCCTGGGGGAGACTTGCACACTCTAAGGCAGAGACAGCCCGGGAAGCATTTTCCCGAACAGGCCGTGAAGTATGTTCGTCGCCCTCGAACTTAATCACTATACATTCATGTTTCTTTGCCTGCATAAAGCTTATAAGCATATGGTTTTTGATGCAGATTTTATGTAGCAGAGGTCCTCCTAGCACTTGAGTATCTTCACATGCTCGGGATCATATACCGGGACCTTAAGCCCGAGAATGTTCTCGTGAGGGAGGACGGACACATAATGCTTTCAGATTTTGATCTTTCCTTAAGATGTGCTGTTAGTCCAACGTTGGTTAAGGGCTCATGTTCGGAGTCCGAGGCGTTGAGAAAGAATTCAGTTTATTGTGCTCAACCGGCTTGTATCCAACCTTCCTGCATCCAGCCATCCTGTGTAGTTCCCACCATGTGCTTCTCTCCCAGGCTTTTCTCTAGCAAGTCAAAGAAGGATAGGAAACCCAAGATTGAAATAGGAAACCAGGTAACGCCATTGCCAGAGCTCGTTGCAGAGCCTACGGAGGCAAGGTCGATGTCGTTCGTTGGTACACACGAGTACTTGGCGCCCGAGATCATTAAAGGCGAAGGTCATGGAAGTGCTGTTGACTGGTGGACATTTGGGATCTTTCTATATGAACTGTTGTTTGGTAAAACTCCTTTTAAGGGATCTGGGAATCGAGCAACGTTGTTCAACGTCGTCGGTCAGCCTTTACGGTTTCCTGAATCACCAGTTGTTAGTTTTGCTGCGAGAGATCTCATCAGGGGATTGCTTGTCAAGGAACCACAGCATAGATTAGCTTACAAACGAGGAGCAACTGAGATCAAACAACACCCCTTCTTTGAAGGTGTTAACTGGGCATTGATACGATGCGCTTCGCCACCGGAAGTACCAAAGCCTGTCGAGATCGAGCGGATACCCTCACCAACACCTCCAGTCAGTGGAAAAACTGTAATGGCCAGACCTGGCCCTGACTCCAAATCATCTGATAATTATCTGGAGTTTGATTTCTTTTAGTAACGACAATACTTGTTTTTGCCTGTCAACAATTTCAATTTTCAGTTTGCAGAAGTAATGGTATGTACTTTTTGTCATCTAAAGCTTGAGAACAGTTCACATAAGGTCAGTGGATCAGAAGAAGATTGGGATTTAACCACCGAAACACCTCCAAGATACGAATCCACTGTGGCCATGTTCTTTCTTCATGATCTTGAAATTTGTAGAACAAGAAGAAGAACAAGAAGATGATGATGAAGATGAATCAATCACTTGGCAGGTTGATTCCTTTCCTTCTTCACATATGATTTTCACATCACAAAATTCTTCTGCATTTTTCAGTATTTGTTTGGCTATTCCTTCTCTCTTCGATCTCCATTTTCTTGTATGATCCAGAATTCACAAACTCTCAGCACAGAGATTAAGAACATTTGAACATTTAGGTTTTGAAACTGAGAATTACTTGGTTGTTTAGAGAGAGAGAGAGAGAGAGAGAGGGAGAGAGACCTGGCCTTGGTGCTGTTCTTCCCTAGTATCAGTTTCCTTATCTGGAGAAGAGAGATAAGATCAAGAATCGCCTTGGCTACCATATCACTCTCGATCATCACAACCTCCACATTGACCTGTAAGAATTTGGTTGTATAAACTGGATCATAAAATCGAACAACCGAAACGTGATCTGGTGCTATACCTGAGCAGAAGAACATGTATCAACAAATTTGTGGAGAAACTCCCTCCTCTTTGCTCTCTCTTCCGCCATGAACTTCTCCACTATCTTCGGACCGACCTGGCTCCTCGGAAGCATTCCCACTTCATAACGAAACACGCAACAATTTTAGTTAGATGAAAGTGATTCTATGCCAAGAACTCTGTTACAGAGAGGGAGAGGGAGAGAGGACATACACGGGCTGGGGACGAAGCGAATCTCGGGGGAGACATGGAGCAAATACACGATACTGGATGGTAAAACAGCGAAATCGAGAGTCCATTGCAAGGCGGCCATACTGGAAGCGTCGTTATCGCCGATCCCAACGTAAACGCAATGGTTCGATTTGCGAAAATCGAAGGAGAACCAACTCTCTTCGCAATCATCCTCCAGTTTACGATTCGATTGCACATCAAGCCCTAGGTCGATCTCGAACAGATCGCTGGATTTCTCCTCTTCATTCACGCTTAAGCTTCGATGAAATTTGAAATCATCACTGCCTAAGTAGTAGTGCTTACTCGTCGATTCTTGAACGTCGGAACGAACACCTCCTTCCACTAACAGAGATTCCGAACCCAACATGTTGATTCCCCGTCGATGGAAAACTAGATCAGAAAGGCATGAACAACGAGGAAACTAAAAATTTCCAGTCAAATTTATACACGATTTTACAGAAGGATTCAATTAATCAAGGGGAAACGTGGGATTTAAGTTTCTGACGTACATGGGTTTGGATCAAAGATGATGATCATGATATTAGGATCTTCAAATCAATTAATCTGGACATAACTTAATTCATATTCTGAATCTTCAACATTAAATAAACCTTTTCAATAAATTTAAAATAAAATTTAACGGAAAACTAATAAATAATTTATATTTAATTTATTTATTTTTTAATTCACGTATATTTTTTACTCAAATAAAAACTGTAAAATTTATTAAACAAAAATAAATAAATAAATAAATAAATAAAATTAGAGATTAATAATTTAATAGGAAATAAAAAGAGCATTAAGCATGACATATTATTAGTGAGGGGAGAGAGATTTAAATAATAAGAGGAAAAGCATAGTATAAAACGAATATTATATGATATTTATATGGTTCGCATGCTTCATATCGTATATGAAAGTGTTGATAAAAGGAATATCCGAATATGTTTTTTTTTTTTTTGGTATAATTTAACTAATTAAAATTTATTTTATTAACTGTTCGAAGTTTTTTTTTTCCTACATTTTAATTAAAATGTTTAGAACTCATATTTTTAGTTAATTAATTAAAATATATAGAACTCATATTTTTAATTAATTAATTAAAATATTTAGAACTCATAGTATAATTTTTTTTCTATCTATAAGATAAGGATCCAAAATTTTTTTAGCAAATCGTTCTTGACCCGAAAACTCGTTCAACCTAATTCAATATGTACGGTTTAAGTTGAGATAAACTTATTTAAATTGGATTGGATTGAGTTAAATATTATGCCGTAGATGTGGTTGAACTGAACTAACCGCATTCAGCGTTAGTTTTAAAATTTAGAGACTTACCAAATAAATGGTGTTAAGCAAAATATTTATATAAGGCATATAATTAAGTGTTTTGACAGCATTGCAACTTTGTTGTCAATATGTCTCAAACCTAAAAACCAATCAACTTTATTTTCCTTTCCAACATCGACACGAGGTTTGAGATATAATAGCTCATTTTTTTTTTAGGGACTTGAGTTATGAACGGTTACGAATTGACACTAAATAAAAGGTGCGATAAATTTTTTCAAAATTGTTTATGGGATATGAGTTGATGAGATGATATATTCATAATCAAGTAGAATAACATAAGTACTTCTGACTCAGAACTACTGTCTCCTGTAGCCATGTAGCTCTTGCAAGCTATGAGTAAATATAAACGTATTTAATAAGTAGTCTACTTGTAGGTCTCTAAATCGTTATTATTATATAGCTTTCGTAGGGTTTTAGAGCTCTTATGTTTTGACCCTATTTGGATCTTTACAATTTCGCTCGATCTAGTTTACATAGTTTCTAATGATTTGGCTTAATGGGCCGGGGCTCCCATCATATTGTGATATCTCATCATTCAGCTCCTCAAAGATCGTATCTACCCATCAGAGTTCTCCACAGGATCTTAGGGTGAAGTTGTCAACGTCCCCCTACCTGATAGTTATATGCATTAAGTTGTTGTTGTTGCTTTTTGCTTATATTTCCATATAACACAAATTTGATTTCTCCTTTCAAAACTCTCTTTTGAAATCTCTCTCCCCTTGTTTTCTAAAACTTTTTTCTTGAACTGAGGCTAGAGACTCGAGCAGACGTCGCTTGGCCGTAGGCGACACAAGAACGTATAGGCTTAACTCACTTGTTGTTGGTAGGTGAGTGTCGCACAATCGCAAGTCCACTGCCACCAAAATGCGATTGTGACAAGTAATATCTAAGTTGTGTACCTACCTATCATAAATCTATGAGGTAGTACTGAATAATAAGCCTCATAATATCATATGAGCTATTGGATATTCATGTGGACTCTTGTTCGGTTTCATGACCAAGAAATAGTTCAAAATTTTCTTATCATCTCCACATGTTATTTTATGGGTCAAATTAAATGATTTCAAGACATGACCGGATATGTACTAGCTCCTCAAATTACTGAGTGTCAATGTCGACCCTTATGCAGGTTCACTATTAAGAGCTACCGGCAACTTTACTAGTCCTCACATCGTACAGTCAATCATATGGGAATGATTCCATATCTTGAAAATTTCATGAAGACAATCACTCGAGATATAAGTTCACAATTAGAAGTGAGTTGACGAGTGCCCTAACCGTTCTCACATGGTAGCAACATCGTGCTGCATGATACTAATCACAAGATATAAGATAAGACATAATAAATTGAAATAATCTAACTCTGTATCATGCTCTTGCAACAATCATTTAACGTAGTATATAGAACATTTATCCATATAGTCACAGCACAACAATCAATTATACGTATTTGAATTAATTTATCGAAAGAGACCCTAACTCATCATTTATCGTCTTAATCATGCATATTTTTAGCTGGTAAATCGAATGCCAGCAAATTCAGACATGTCCTCCCTTCCTAAATAAAGAATCCCAAATGGAGTAAAAAATAAACTTTTCTCCTAATAAAACAAAGGCTTTGCATTGGTTTGTAAAAATTTGAGGAACCAAATAATGATTTAATGGGTTTGGATTTTACATAAAAACCAATGATTTTAAGAAATTTGCGTCACCCGCTGGCAACTGACGACAACTATGTTGATAGCGGTTGCCAGGCTTGCACCAATCCTCACAGTTTAGAGAGATACTGACAGAGTGTCACATGATTATCTATTAGTCTCCTTACTTAGAGTCGCCACTAATGTTTCATACATTGTTCAAATTCGAAATATAATTTTTAAAAGAAAACATCATCTATAACATAAATGTTGTAAAATTTAAAGAAAATAAAAACAAAACAACCTATTATATGAGTCTACCCTATGCATGTGTCACAGTCTCTGATCGTGATGGCACCGTCATCCGTACATGGGTACCTTGCCTTTACCTGAAAAATGATGGCACACAGTCTGATTATTTCGAAGATACTCAGTAAGTGACCCCACTATAAGGGTCATGCTAGATGCAATCACATGCAAATATGCTATAGGTACCTATCTCTATCTCATCTCATATTAGGGTGGCCTCTAGTTCGGACTACTATGGATGTGTAGTACTTCCCTGCACACGACCTACATGTGCGAGTGTGAATTTTCAGGCAGCTCGCCTGCCCCTTGGACCCTCTTTGGTCAAGCTAGCTGTTTATAGCGATGTCCGGAGGTCAGCAGAACCCCTCGTGTCATGCTCACCATGATCACTCTCATCATCATATTGTGCGCGTCTACACTCATCATCTATAGGGGAAGTATCCCTATGCTTATATACACACAACATGCATGAGATCCCTCTAGTTCTCATCTTAACGTCTCTTCTGACGCACCCCTAGTCTCATCTCTCTGTTACGTTTAGTAATACATGCTTGTTAGATATTTATATTAATATTCTATTTCATTCTCTTAGGGTTGTGTCTTCGGTCAAACTATTGACATGATGCAATATGACACTCATCTTCATGCAACATGTTTAATATGGAAAAAAACCATCATATTAAGGTAAACGTCATGCAAAACATCATAATCATCATACTGCCATTAAGCATGTCAAGTATGTCATACATCGTAATATAACTCACGTACATCATCATGCATCATGATGAAAAAAGATAGTGTGGAGGGCATATTTTTCAAGAATGTGATTAAAACTACTCGATAATGAAATCGTACAAATTCTCCCCAACCTGAGATTACCGGCCCTCGATTCCTTCTATAAAAATATTCCTCAAGCTTCCAAAAAAAACACAAATGAATGGGTCCTAGTGGACAATTTAAGCTTTAAGGCTCGAATTGAAAATATAATTTTTTTTCCCGAACCTCACCTTTGAGAACTCAATTGGACACTTGTGTCTAGTCGTGTTAGGCCTCGATCCCTTCTACAAATGTATGGTAATCTCTTTCCAAAGATGTAGGAATAAGAACGAAGTTTTTTTGGTCATAGTCCCTAATTTGTCCAAAGACAATATCCCTATAATTGTCGGAGTTCAAAAAAGAAGAAACTCAAAGAACGAGAATGTGGCTTCTATGTTTTGGGTATTAGACGTGGAACCAACATCACACGGTCTCTCTCGAGAAAACTTTATGTTGATAGTTATAGGGATATTGAACCTAATATAACTCAAAGTTAGTCGGCAGAAAGTTGTGAGAAAGAACCAGCTCGTAAAAGCTTATTATGCATTTTTCGGGTATTAGGTGGGAGTTAGCATCCTCTAGTACTCTAAGAAGAATATAGCCCGTTGTGTGACCATATTGTAGCCATTAATAGAAATATAACCACTTGAGATTACAGACCCTTATCCACTGTCTTAATCCGATTTGATTTTGTTACTCACGTTTCCTTTCTGCTATATCACAATTAGTATTGTTATTAAACAACAACGAACAATAATACCCATTATTGACGTTATCGTAGTTCCTAAATATTTGAGTAAAAAGTTCATCTTAACTTCATGTGAAATCGATAGTTTACTTATTACTTGTTGTTACGCGATTTAATAGTTCAAATTTTTGTTCCCACGTAGACTCAAATATGGTCAACAGTTTTAGAAATGAGTTAGGACTCGAAATCTCCACGGTGAGCCATAGGAAAGAAAGGAAGAAGAGAGGGAAAAAGAGAAAGGAAAAAATTGCGTTCCCGGTTCTCAAGTTTAGCCTCTAAACATTAATACGTTCGACAATAATGTTAATACTTTCTATAAAACATACTTATCAACCTCACTTGCTTGTTAAGGAATCGATACATACACATCAACACGCTAAAATAGCGGTCCAATCTCGATTCATGTTCGAATCAAACTCAAATTTTGACTAGCACTACTGAATTCATTTTTATTCACTAGATTGGATATGAATCATCATTTTAAAGATTTGGTCCATCAACTCGTTTGAGATTGTCGATCGAATTATATTTATACCAATAATTCTTCTTATATTATATTATATTTTATATATTTAATTTTTTTTTAATATATTTTTTTTAAGTTTATTTTTACCATCCAAATATTATAGTTTTTAGTTCATAAGAATTTTTAGAAGTGTTAAATTCTAATTAAAAAATAAAATACTAAGCTAAACTTTATAGTATCAATAATCTTATCAAGTAATCATAAAATATTAATTCAAAAAATGTAAGAAAAAAAACATTAATATTCAATGATCGGATGAGCTAAAATTGACCCAAATTCAGTGAGGTTATGGTCTTTGCTATAGTCGACCTCAGACCCATCCATTGGCTAAGAATCGATATGCTTGAGTTTAGGTCGAGGTTGAGCTTTCAATTTTTAGGAGAGGGTTGGTTTGACTTGACCCATTTACGCAGATGAAATACTTGAAATAATACTTGTCGTAACTTATTCTTACATTAATAACTTCCTCTTTAAGAGTTTCCATCAATATCTGTAGTTAATGTTTATCTCGATTCATTCTTATACCCTCCCTTAAATCTTACAACAGATTGCTCTATGTCTTGGGTCAATTAATAAATGTCATTGTCTAGATCCTATGTCAATAGCTGCTATAATCTTTTCAATATTGAATTACAACTAATATGCGTACATAATAGTAAAGCGCATATTAGTGAAGTAAATAGTGACCTGTTGAAAGTTTGCAGTGTAGCTTAACTCCGACCTACACCCACAAGTTTACTTCTTGCTAAGCATATTTAGATGGGCAAGATTTAAAACTCATGATTTTCATTTTTTCTACCTTTGGTATTAATTGATTGTAACTTTATTTGGATGGAGTAACTCACATATTAATTGACTTAATAGCTCGAACGCGTGATCTCGAATGGACTTGGTGATCTTCTTCGATCGACCTTTGATTTATTGATCTTTTTGGAATAGTTTCTAAGTTGTGATCTTATTGGATAGACCTTTTAATTGTTGATTTTGTTAGATAAACCATTGACTTGTTGATGTACGTGGAGAACTTGGCTCTAAATTTGCTAAAGAGACTGCCTCATGTGAGTACTTTTTAGGTGACTCAAGCCCATACCCATCAACTCCGCCAACTTCCTCTTTTGAAGATTATGGATTTTTGTAAGGTCTTACTGCCCGTGATGGACATGAGAATTACAACATTTCTATTATAGGTAAATTTAAGTGTTATTTCCATGCTATAAATACTCATTCATGGAAGACTATAAATGTTCATATTATGTTCTTTAAGTCATAAGCTTGTTCCTCTTCATTTCTTGTGTTTAGATTTGCATGTTAAAGTCATTCAAGTAGTCGTAATCAAGTTATCTTGTAGAGTAATTTGAATCACGAGTTTTCTTTACTCTTGATCATGATCATCAAGGTAGTTCATTCTAAAACATTCCCTCGGGTTGATTATTTATTGTTTTTTGAGGTTATTGGATAATTTAGATCTAAAGATCTTGTTCTTTAATAAGGTTGTTAGATCAAATCCCTTGAGTTTCTTAACAGGGCCTTTCAAGTACAATGTCTGACGACATGGGTGTGTTGACATTGCTCCCTAGCCCATGTGACGGAGGTTGGTATATCCGCTATCCAATATGAAGTTCGTAAATAACATGACATGGACATAGGAGAGTTCAAACCCAAATAAGAACTCGGATGAAAGGATGTTCTAAATGTCTCAATGAGACGAGCGACACATGGATCGGTCCCAATAAACATGTTCGAGCCAGCCAAGATGCCCGAGTTGTCCCGAGACATGGGATAACATTACCATACATGAGTCATGTTGTTGAAAATTGAGATGATGATGATGACGTGATGTTTCACACTATAGACATTGGCCTAGAGAAGAGGCAAGCTCGAGCCCGATAACTTGTATTGGTCTTGAGGCAAGTGGGCTAGAGTCACAGACGATTGAACATGCACGTACGGACAGCGTGTGTGACCGAACAAGTTTAGATTTTGTATAAGTTGTGTTCCGCTGGCAAAGGCGAACCTCGCCTAAGGTCCGACAAAGCCATAAAGATGGGCAAAACCAAAAACAAAAAGAAAAGAATGGGGCTTGAGTACCCCTTAAGGCTTGTCATGAGTGTGTCAAAATCATGACGTCACATGGTTAAAGATATACGACCATGACAATTAGCATTAGAGCCACACTCTGTGTGTCTAAGTTGGACAAGACAGTAAGAAATATGAACCCAAGGGTAATGAAAACTTCATAAGCTTGTTACCTGTCAGTGAAGTACGAACCAAGCTCGTTTGCTAAGAGCTTGGGAGTTTCAAAACTTGGCAATAGATAATCAAAAGATGTAACAGGTAGGGTGCTTTTGAAAGAGTCATTCTCATGAGAGGAATAATTCCTTTAGTTGCAAGCAAAGAAGTCGAGGTTCAAATGAGACATGCTGTCAGTCAAGTGCAAAAATGGGCACAACACAAGTCCACATGGGTGGATGACGTCGCTGCAAGTGAGGCAACTGAGTTAAGTAGGGGAGATCCTGAGAGAATGGGTTGCTCACTCGAGAGAAGTTCTCCTAGAAGTGAGCATACATATGTTCCTTGAGTCATCACCTAGTGCCGATGGTGGGTGACTTCACAAGAGTTGTCGAGACTAGAATCCGTTTGAATAGCATCAGGCTAGATGTGAGTGACATAGAGAACAAAGCTATAATAAGACCAAAGAAGCATCGGTGCAAGATTTGCCATATGAAGGTAGCCTAGATGAAAAGTTGGATGCAGTGTATTGCCAATATAGGGCTATGTTATAAGCTTCTCGACCTTGCTTCTGAAAAGGGTTGTGACCATGAAAAGAAGATGTTGTGATACACAAAGTCCACCTTGCCACCAAAAATGGATGTGACCATGACTAGAAAATATCATGATAAAAATATCTATACAGCTTAGAGACTACGATGTTTGAGGCCAAAGACAATACTAGTTTTTTTATGGTTTGTTTGGTGTGTCTTCGGCCAAATCCAAGAAGAGGGCAAAGTTAGGTCCTTAGTGGGATAGCAATGATTGAGCAATTTTTTTTAGTTCTTATGAAGTGAGTCTCGAAGAACGAGAGAAGGTCTGACAGTGGAATAGCCCGTAAGTAGTGCACATGTTTCCATATTTGTTCTAGAGCGCAATGAAATTTAGCGGGTCAAGTTAGCAGCAAATACAATGTTTGGATCACCATTGGGATGATGCAAAGATTAAGTGGAGGAGAGTGTCACAATCCACGATATGATTGTGCCCTCGATTAAGTCATTGAGAACGACGACGACTTTAAGTGGGGGTCACAACCTCACTATAGAGGTAGTAGGTTGTGACCCCACATGTGGACAGACAAGGTGGTGACCCTCAACTAGCATCCTTTCGGCCTTGTGAAGGCTGAGACTTGATGTCTTTTGACTAAGCAATTTGCTGTGAGGAAATTGTCGGAGGAAAAACAATCAATTGTTGGAAGAAGAAAAAACAGAAAAAATAGAAGAGAGACAGACACACGTATTCCAGATTCTGAAGACACGATGATTTGTTCTCATCCGATTGACATATTTAAATAACAATTATATGCTAAAAATGGAAAGTAGTGGCAACTCAATAAAAGTCATCCCACTTGGACGTGGCCATTCCACTCAACTTAATTGTGTGGCTTTAACTAAAAAATAGGGATGACTTCAACTTAAAAATAGGGATTTATCTAACAATCTTCTCTTAGAGCCCTGTGGTATATTTACCTTATTGTTTGAACTCCGTTCTTCGAGTGAAGTTCTTCAAATTTCACCTGCGCCAGAGATTTGGTGAAGATGTCTCCAAGCTGTTCCTTTGTATGGATGAAATCAATTTTGATGAGTCCCCGATCTGCACATTCCCGGATGTACTAGAATCTGATTTCTATGTGCTTGCTCCAATCGTGCAAAACTGGATTTTTTATTAGGCAAATCGTAGCTTTGTTGTCCACGCATAGCATTGGTGGATTGCCTTCTCTTCTGATGAGTTCTTCCATCGCGCAAGCCAGACCTCCTGTGTGGCCGTCGTCGAAGTGGCGATGTACTCTGTCTCGTAAGAGAACAGAGCAACTACCATTTGTTTAGTTGATTGCCAGCAGATTGCGCCGCCTGAGAGGAAGTAAATCATCCCGCTGGTACTCTTACGATCATCAAGTTCACCGGCCAGTATCTCACATCCCAGCCTCTCCCTGCACAGTATCTCATACTCCAGCCTCTGGTTCCGGCCACATAGCACAGGATGTGCTTGACAGTCACGAGATGCTCCTCCCTAGGTGCTTCCATAAATCTACTTATGTATCCAACTGAAAAAGCAAGATCAGAGCTTGTGTTTACCAGATAGCGCAGTCTCCCGATAATGCTACGGTAATTGGTGATGTCGACTACCGTCGTAGTGCCGACCTTCCTTAGCTGGAGTTGGACCTCCATTGGCGTTCTTGTAGGGTTACTGTGTGCTAGCCCAGCTGTGTCCAGCAGCATCGCGTACACACCTTGATAGATGGTGATGCCGGTAGTACTCTGTTGTACTTCGATGCCGAGGTAGTAGTTGAGCATGCCGAGATCGCTCATCATGAAGTTCTTTGACATCTCCCTCTTGAATCTTCCAAAAACTTCCATGTCGCCTCCAGTGATTATGAGGTCATCGACGTACACTCCCACGATCAGTCGTTGCTCACTGTGGTCGTGCGTGTACATGCCATGCTCAGAGGCACAGTGCTTGAACTTCAGCGACAGCAGGGTACTATCGAGCTTTGCGATCCAGGCTTGTGGTGCTTGCCCAAGCCCGTAGAGTGCCTTGTGCAGGCGCAGTACCTTGTCGGGGTTGTCATTGTCCAGGAAGTCAGGTGGTTGTCAGACGTAGACGGTCCCCTTCAGCTCTTCATTTAGGAAAGCGAACTTCACGTCCATGTGGTGGACCTCCCAAGAGTAATGTGTCGCAATCACCAGCAACAGGCGGACGGATTCCAACCTTGCCACCGGCGCAAATACCTCTTCGAAGTCCACTCCTTGTTTCTGAACGTAGCCTTTCACCACCAGACAGACCTTGTGCTTCACAACTTCTCCCTCTTTGTTAAGCTTTAGTTTGAACACCCATTTGAGCCCTATGGCTCGATGCCCTAATGGCATGTCCTCCAGACTCCACGTCCTTTTCGCAGTGATGGATGCCATCTCTTCCTGCATTGTCTTCAGCCAGCACAAGTTCCTTTATGCTTTGGCGAAGGAGTTCGGTTCATCGGCGCTGATGGCATGCAGTTCGGCCACCTCTTCTTCGAGCTTGCGCACCGCCAGTTCCAGTGGTTTACCTCTTCCCAGTAGATTTTCAATCCTCTAGTACCTGGCCGCCAGACCATCATCGTGATTGGCATCCAGCATCGAATCTGTAGTACATGATCTCACAAACTCCACTGGTTCAGGAGGCGTAGCAAGAGTTGTGGTTGGTGTTGGCGTAGTCATGCCTGGTGCAACTGTTGGCGGCGGTGATAGTGCCCAATGCTACGCTTCTCTTTCTCCCAGCTCGATGACTAAGTACACCACCATGAATTGATTTGGGTTTTGGTCCACCTCGATCACGTCGTTCCACTGCCAGAAGATGCTCTCGTCGAAGACGATGTCGCGTGACACGTGAGCTTGCCCCCCGCAGGATCATAGAGTCTGTACACCTTGCTCGCAAGTCCGTAGCCAATATAGACGACCTTCAGCCCCCTGAGATTGAGCTTGGTGAGATGGAGACGTGTGATCTTCATGTAAGCGACACAGTCGAACACTCGTAGATGATGTACCGTTGGCTTCTTGTTGTATCATGCCTCGTGTGGCGTCTTCCTGTCGAGGCTTTGCATTGGCAACTGGTTGAGGAGGTAGACGACCATCATGACCACCTCGCTCCAAAACCTCCCGGGCATCCCTATCGTCATCAGTAGTGATCTTACCGTCCCGACGATGGTTTGATTTTGGCACTCCACCACCCTGTTCTTCTACGGGAGTAGGGCGCCGTTAGGTGCCGCTGCATGACGAGTGTCACAATCGCACTTTTGATTGCAGCAAACTTGCGATTGTGTGACACTCACTTTCCAATGACAAGTGAGCTAAGCCAATTCGTTCTTGCGTCGCCTACGGCCAAGCGACGTATGCTCGAGCCTCTGGCCTCGGTTTTAAGAGAAGGTTTTAAAAAATGAGGGCAGAGAGAGATTTTCAAAAGAGAGATTTTTGAAAGAGACGTTATATATAATCTTGGATAGGGAGAAATTGACAACTAGTCGTATCCCCTCTATAGTACATTCTGAGGCATTTCATGTCTGAAAAGTCTAGACATGATATTTCTGAAACGTCATATTTCCTAGAAATACTAAAGTAAAACACTAGAATATGAAAAGACATAAAGGGTTGGGTTTGTCATGGGCATGCGGCCATGGGCAACATGCCTTGGACGAGCATGACTGTGACATCCTCCCCCACCTGGTTTCCTCCGTAGGGAGATTCTTTCATTTGAAAAAGAATTTGCGAATCGTCCGTACAGGTCTTCCTATCTTCCTAACCCTGTCGGCTAGGGTCTCCTCTATTTCTTTGCTGTCTCTTTGTTTCAGATCGATGCTCGGTCTCGTGATTACATTTCGTTGGTTGTCGTCCGGGTCAGGGTGATCGGGCTTTAGGTTGCTCACATGAATTACTGGGTGGATTTTCATCCATGTGGGTAGCGCAACTCTGTAGGAGGTAGCCCCGATCTTTTTAAGGACTTCAACCGGGCCTTCATATTTTTGAACTAGTCTCTGGTCCTTTTGACAGCAAAATCTGATCTGTTTTGGTCTCAACTTGATGAGGACCTAATCTCCTTATCAGAATTGGAGGAGGCGACGCTTCTTGTCCGCCCACTTCTTCATATGCATGGAAGCTTTCTCTAAATATACCCGGGCTATATCTATTGTCTGCTTCCATTCTCTTGTGAAGTTTTGAGCTTGAGGATTTTTTCCTGCATAAGGATGATCAATAATATGGGGCAGGGCCGGTTGTCGTCCACTTACAATTTCAAAGGGACTCTTCCCCGTAGACGAGCTCGTTTGACAATTGAAATAGAATTGGGCGACATCTAGCAGTTGTATCCAATTCTTCTGGCGAGCGTCGACGAAGTGACGTAAGTATTCTTCGAGCAAGCAGTTGAATCATTCCGTCTGTCCATCGGTTTGAGGACGATAGCTTGAGGAGATGTTTAAAGTCGCTCCCAAGAAGGCGAATAATTCGGTCCAGAATGTGCCAATGAATCTACCATCCCTGTCACTGATGATGCTCGACGGAATGCCCCATAACTTGACAACGTGTTTGAAAAATAGTTGGGCTGTTAGTTTAGCCGAGCATAATTTGGGAGTGGGACGAACGTCGCATATGTTGAGAACCGGTCTACGATAGCCAAGATGGCGTCATATTCCCCGACTTTTGGGAGGTGTGTTATGAAGTCCAGAGATACACTTTCCCAAGGCCTTGTTGGCACAGGTAGAGGTTCCAAGAGTCCCGAGACTTTGGCTTTCTCGACTTTGTCTTGTTGGCAGATGAGACACGTCTCGATGTACTACATGATGTCATCTCGCATATTCGGCCAAAAGCACCCCTTTTTTATTAGGGCATATGTTCTTTGCTACCCAGGGTGTCCGGCCCATAAGATATCATGACATTCCTGAATGAGCTTCTTCCTCAGTTCTCCCGTTCTTGGGACGTATAATCTGTTTCCTTTAGTCATTAGAACGTCTCCCTCGACCCAAAACTGTCGTGTCTTCCCAGCTTTAGTTAGCTCGACGATGGCTTTGACCGATGGGTCTTTGTGTAAATGTTCTTTAATGATGTCGCGCATCGATCTGTCGATCTTACTTGAATGAATATGGGCTAACTTGATTACTCTTCCCTGCCTTGTGTTCGAATTTGAAGTCGAATTCCGCCAACGACTCCTGCCACTAGGCTTGTTTTGCCGTCAATTTTGGTTGATCGAAGAAATGGCAGATGGCGTTGTTATCCATCTTCACTATGAACTGTGATCCCAAGGGATACTGTCTCCAGACTCGTAGGCAATGGACTACAGCTAACATTTCTTTTTCAGAGACAGTGTATCTCCATTCGGCATCATTGAGCTTACGACTTTCATAAGCGATGGGGTGGCCTTCTTGAATAAGGGCACCACCTAGGGCAAAGTCGGAAGCATCTGTTTCTATTTCAAATGGTTTTGTAACATCTACTAACCCGAGGACAGGACCCCTCGTCATGGTTGCCTTGAGATCTTCAAAGGCCATTTGACATTTATTTTACCACGACCAGGGGTGGTCTTTCTTCAAGAGCTCTGTTAATGGGGCGGCTCGTCGTGAAAACCCTTCGACGAACCGCCTATAGTAGTTTGTTAATCCTAAGAAGGATCGCACAACGAATACGGAAGTAGGGACTTTCCACTCTTGGATAGCTTTTATCTTATCGCTATCCATACCGATCTGTCCACAGCTGATGACATGTCCAAGGAAGTTGATGCATGTTTGTGCGAAGATACATTTTTCTTTCTTGACGTACAACTGATTCTGCCGCAGCTTGTCAAACACCAGCTTCAAGTGCACCTTGTGTTCCTCAAGGGTTGTGCTGTATACAACTATGTCGTCGAGGTATACTATGACGAACTAATCCAAGTATTCATAGAAAACCTGGTTCATTAACGTGCAAGACGTAGCTAGGGCGTTTGTCAAGCTAAAGGGCATTACCAGGAACTCGAAGGCCCCATATCTTGTTACACACGTGTCTTGGACTCATCCCCCTTGGCGATACGTACTTGGTAGTACCCTGATCGTAAGTCCAACTTTGTTAAGTATTTGGCCCCGTGAAGTTGGTCGAACAAGTCAGATATTATCGGCAGCGGGTATTTGTTGCGTACCGTCACCTTGTTTAAGGCTCTATTTGTTGCGTACCGTCACCTTGTTTAAGGATCTATGCACAGACGCAACATCCCATCCTTCTTTTTCTGAAATAGTACGGAGGCTCCGTAAGGTGCTTTTGTCGGGTGGATGAATCTTGCTGTCAACAACTCATCTAGTTGTTTTCTCAATTCGGCTAGCTCGAGGGGAGCCATCCGGTATGCATTCTTCGTTGGGGGTTTAACCCCGGGAAGGAGTTCAATTTCTTGATCAATGCCTCGACGGGGTGGTAATGTTTGTGTAGCTTAACTGTTTAGTACCTCCTTGATTTCGTTTGGGATAGTTTCCTCAGTGGTCACTTCTTCCATCAGTGATATAGCCATAAATGTAGGTTCCTCTCGTGCGAATCTTCTTTTCAATTGTATGGCCGAGATCATTCTAAGATTACCTGGCTGCTTGATGCTTGCAGGTATTAGTGTAGGGTTGCAGTCTGTGAACACCAAGCATTTCGCCAGTGGCATTGGAATAACTTTTCGTTCTGGAGGAACTCCATCCCAAGTACCATGTCAAAGTCGTCCATGCAAACTAGGACAAGGTCCAGGTCTCCTGTCCAAGCCCCTAATTTGAAGGGGATTCTTTTGGAAATTCCCACAATAGGCAAGGCCTCGGAGTTGACAGCTTTCATTTTTCCAGGGTCCTTTTCTATGGTGAGTCCCAATCTTCGTGCTTCTTGATCGGCGATGAAGTTGTGAGTTGTTCCTGAGTCTATCAAGGTGCTCTTGCTCGGTCGAGAGTTTATTGTCGCATCCACAAATATGAGCCCTTTCTCTATTATCTCCTGGTCGACCTTCCGTTGGAGGGCTGACAAGAATTTGAGCGCGCCCATTTGGGGGTTGTCTTGATTTTCCTTCTTGTCTAGCATAGTCTCGACTCTTGTGTCGTTGCTCTCTTAAATGGACACTTGGAGTGCACTGAGAGAGGCCTGATGAGGATAGTAGGACACTTTGTGGGGGCCTTTACACAACAGGCATTATAAAGGTGTCGTCTGGTGGTTCCTTTGAGGGTAAGGTCCTCGAGATGTCCCCATTTGGTTGTTCTGAGGAGGTCTATTTGTCCACCCGCTTGGTCTGTCATTATTTCTGTTTGGCCTATTGGGGCTTCCATTTCGATAACCTGGCGGTTTATATGTTTTTCCTCCAGTGTTTGGGGCCTGTATTGTTTTTCTTTGGTAACTCGCTCCGCTCCCATAGTCTTGGAGTCTCTCGGCGCTGGCAATTGTGGTAGCTAGGTCTTGGACCTTTTTCTCGTGTAATTTTGTTTTGGCCCACGGTTGTAACCCATTTATAAAGAACACCTTGTCTTTCTCTGATGTGCCCCTGATATCTAGCATCAGGGTTGAGAATTGTCTGACATAGTCCTTTATGCTTCTAGTTTGCTTTAGAGCTATTAGTTTTTCCATTGCTAGATGTTCTACGTTTTCGGGGAGGAATTGGTCCCTCAACTCTCTCTTGAGGTCTTCCCACGAGTCTATGGTGCACAATCCATTCTCGATGTCTTGCACCTTCATACGCCACCAAAGTTTGGCGTCGTCTATGAGATACATCGAGGCTACTGTCACCTTTATGTCGTCAGTACAAGCCAGTGTGGCTTTGAAGTAGTGTTCGACATCAAAAATGAAGTTCTTCAACTCTTTGGCATCCCGGTTCCCTTTGAAAGGTCTAGGATCTGGGAACTTCAGTTTGTTGGATCCTGTATTAGTTTGCCCAACCGAGATGTTCTCCACGACTTTCATGGTCACCTCAATTTGGGTGCTCATGACGGACATCTTTTCTTGGATGTCATCGATCGTTGTTCTAAATTCGTCAGCTAATCCATTGAACAAACTCATCATTGTATTTTGTAGCACGTCGAACTCTTCGCCACGTCCCTCCTTGTGCGCAACAAAGCTATCGGGGCTACCAGACGGTCTTGGGCTTCTTGTAGGAGCAACTTTTTCTTCGAGTGAGGTCACTCAAAACATCAGTTCTCCGATGGCAACCCATTCAGGCGGTTACCCATTGCGTCGATTTCTATGACTTTTCCATTCAATTCTGTCACCTGTGCTTCTAGGAAGCGGATGGTGTCAGGGACTTCTTTGAGGAATAGCATTTCCTCCTCTATTAAAGTAAGCCGGTCGACTTGTGATTTGGGTGTCGACTTTGTCATCGAAATGTTTTCGGTCTTTGCTATTTTTTGGAGCTTATAAAGCTTTGATACCACTTGTCACAATCGCACTTTTGATGGCAGCGGACTTGCGATTGTGCGGCACTCACTTTCCAATGACAAGTGAGCTAAGCCAATTCGTTTTTGCATCGCCTACAGCCAAGCGACGTATGCTCGAGCCTCTGGCCTCGATTTTAAGAGAAGGTTTTAGAAAACGAGGGCAGAGAGAGATTTTCGAAAGAGAGATTTTTGAAAGAGATGTTATATAAGCAAGTAAGAGAGAAATAAAAACGGCTTACAGTATATAACCTTGGGTAGGGAGAAGTTGACAACTAGTCGTATCCCCCTATAGTACATTCTGAGACATTTCATGTCTGACAGGTCTCGCCATGATATTTCTGAAACGTCATACTTCCTGGAAATACTAAAGTAAAACACTAGAATATGAAAAGACATAAAGGGTTGGGTTTGTCATGGGCATGCGGCCATGGGCAACATGCCTTGGACGAGCATGACCGTGACACCGAGCTTGTCACAGTACTTACTGAAACGCAACAACGTGAATTCTTTGCCTCGATCCATGCGCAACACTCGCATACGGCCTCCGCGCACAGTTGAATGCGCTTGATCGCCTCTGCCGCCTCACTCTTCGCTTGGAGGAAGATCAGGCACATGAAGCGGCTCTTGTCATCGACCAATAGGAGGAAGAGGGTCTTGTCTGAGATATTGCGTGCACGAGCTCCAATAACTCACTGGTGCGGTAGGATGCCTGAGACAGAAAGAGGGTGCGCTTCTACTTGCCGCTGAGACATCCGTCGCACAGCCTGTTCACACCTTCAATTGTCAGCAAAACTTACATCATCTCCTTCTTGTGTAGTTTTTGTAGAGTAGGAAAACTTAGGTGCCCGTACATTGCGTGCTACCTCTATCTCCAACTCAAGGATGTAGAGACAATTTTTCGTGTGCCGAACTTGCGTAAGCAGTCGTCGTCGATCATCGTAGATCTTGAACAGCCCGCACTTGATGAAAATATAGCAGCCGACCTCATCAAGTTGACCCACGCTCACAAGGTTAGCCTTGAGCCTCGGTATGAAATAGACGTCGGTCAGCTTGTGCTGATCGCCTCCCTTGCCGATGTACAAGATGGTGTCACGCCTTTCCATCTCGATGACGAAGCCGTTGTCGAACTTCACCGTCCCGCGAATCTTCGAGTCAAGCTCGGAAAGTGCAGACCTGGCCCCGGTCATATGGTTTGTTGCCCCCGTGTCGAGGACCCATGTCGGTGCTCTTGCTGCTCGCCTCTTTCGTCGATCTGGGCAAACACTCGCTCCTCCTTCAGTCGATTGTTGGAAGAAAAATAGTTGATTGTTAAAAGAAGAAAAAACAGGAAAAACACAAGAGAGAGAGACAGACGTATTTCAGATTCTGCCAAATACCCGTTGATTTGTTTCTCATTCGATTGGCATATTTAAATAACATTTATATACTAAAAATGAGAAGGAGTGGCAACTCAATTAGAGGCATTCCACTTCACGTGCCATTCAACTTAACTTAATTTGTGGCTTTAACTAAAAATAGGGATGACTTTTAACTTAAAAATAGAGATTTATCTAACAAGATATACCCGATGCAACCAAGGAGGACAATGCATCATCCAACACACCAAGAAAAGTGTGCATTAAAGCGAAGCTGAGGCATAAGGTTGGAGAGAACGAGGTGACACGAGCTTCAAAAACAAGCTCAAAGAGGGCCAAATAAGGCTCTGGGCCATAACCTCACAAGTCGGGGTTCGATATGAGCTTCGTCATGCAACTTTGGAATTGATGTTGTCTATATGAAAGATGAAAACTCACCAAACTTAGTGTCTCTTGAATATCTTACTAACGTTCTATGGGGCCATATGTCCGCTCCAAAATGACGTCTACTCCAAAAGGATTGAAAATACTTCAAAATGTATTATAGGGGGAGACATGGTGTCAGCTCTCCACCACCTCCTGGGTTCTAATGGCTTAAGCGAGCAACCTTGTGGCACATACATGTGTCACAACATGGAAGAGCTTTGTAGGACGAGCGTCTCAGACATCTTCCTTTGAAATGAGTCTTTCAAGGACAGTGTTGGGCGACACGGGTGTGCCTGCATTGTACCCTAGCTTATGTGTTGAAGGTTGGTATAGACACTCGATATCCAATACAAAGTCCATAAATGACATGGTATGGACACGAGATGATTGATGCCCCATTAAGAACTCGGATGGATAGATGTTTGGGATGACCCAATGAGTCAAGTGACACATGGGTCGGTTCCAATAGACATATTTGAGCAAGTCAAGATGTCTGAGCTGTCTCGAGAAATGGAATGACATCACGATGCATGAATTGTATTGTTAGAAACCGAGATGATGATGAGATATGACATTACACACTAGAAACTTTGACCTAGAGAAGAGAAAGGTCGAGCTAGATAATTTGGTCAAGTGTAGAGGCAAGTAGGCTAGAATTTAAGACAATTGAGCATGCACGTCGGCGTGTGTGACCGAAAAAGCTTGTGTTTTGTACAAGTTCTCTCACTCGCATTGTTGCAAGTATTCTATCACTCGAAAATACCATCATAGAAAAATTAGTCTAAAGTGTGATAAAATAGAGATTTATTCACCAAACCGAGATACAAACTAGCAAATGAGGTGTTGTCATCTATTGCCAAAGAGAACACGACTATGTGAAAGAAACTATGTGGAGTCTAAATATAGATTCAGTGAAAAGAGATGGGAGATCGAAAATATAATCTTGTCTTCATTTATAGAGAACGGGGAGAAATCTTTCCCACTCTATCCGTATTCGTAGTAGATCCTCGACCTCGCACCATAAATGAACATCAAACTGCTATTTAAGAACAAAGTTCATCTTTCTTCTTATTTATTCATTTAAGCATTTAACACTTTTTTTATATAAAACTTAATAGTCGGATTTTGGGTTTGATTTTTTCATGGAAATGAATAAAGATATTTTTTAATTTTAGTAAATTTTGAAATAAAATCACCGAAAAAAAAAATCTTTAATTTTTATTGAAAGGTAAAAAAAATTAAAAAAAAAAATTCAATTTTACTTAATTAGTCGTATTATTTGTCAAAAGATCTTACTAGTTTTAATTCTCTATCCTGTTAATTTACCTAACTATTCATTAATCCCTTACAATTTTCGAATATGAAATAATAATAAAAAATTTATATTTTATGCTTTAGGTTATTCTTTTATATTGTTTTATCATATATAAATAAAAATATTTTGAAATTTTAGTCTATTTTTTAAATTTCAAGTTTCATTTCTTTATAAACAACCCTAAATTTCTACTTAGGTTGCTCTAACGTCTCATATTCAACTAATATGCGGAATATAACTCTTAAAAAAAATATCATTTCTAGCATAAATGTCAAAAACATTTAAACAAATTCATCTTTGGGAAAGCTCCGCCATGGTCTTATGTGTTTTAAACGAAATACTGGAATTCCAATAATGAAAACAAATACAAAATAATTTAAAATGACGAAATGGAAGACAACCTATTCTAATCTAAAACTATGAATTTAAATATGCATCTATCCTATGCACGTGCTATGGTCTCTGCTCGCTATGCAGCCATTATCCATACATGGGCGCCGTGCCTTTACATGAAAAATGATGTGACACACGACCTAAGTATTTCTAAGAATACTCAGTAAATGACCCCACTATAGGGGTTATGCTAAATGCAAACACATGCAATCATGCTCTAGGGACCTATCTTTGTCTATTTCTCATACTAGGGGTGGCCTCCAGTCTGGACTACTATGGATGTGTAATACTTCCCTACACACAACCCACATATGCGAGTATGAATCTCCAAGCGGCTCACACACCCCCTACTCCCTCTCTTGTCAAGCTAGTTGTCTGTAGCGACGTCCGGAGGTCAGCGGACCTCTGGTGTCATGTTCACTATGAACACCCTCATCATCATACTGTGCACATTCGTACTCATCATCTCAAGGGAAAGTATACCTATGCTTATGTACACATAACATGCATGAGGTCCCTCTAATTCTGATCTTAACATCTCTTCTAACACAACCCTAGTCCTATCTCTCTATTACATTTAGTAACACATGCTCGTTAGATATTTATACTAATATCGTTTTTCATGCTCTTAGGGTTGTGTCCAGGTCGATCTATCGAGATGATGCAATATGACAATCATCATCATACAACATACTTAATATGGAAAATATCGTCATATTAAGGCGAACGTCATGCAAAAACATCACATCATCATAATGCCATTAAATGCATCAAGCATGTCAAGTACATCATACATCGTAATATAACTCACCTACATCATCATGGATCATAACTCATACATCATCATATAACTAGCGTACGACATCATACAATTCAGCTCATACATCATAAGTCATAAATATCGCATACGTCATCGCAATCAAACATACATCGCAACTCATACAATTTTCTAGACTATCCTATAGTCAGGCTACTTATCTGATTAGCTTAAGTTGTTGTCATGAATTTATCCTTCGATTCTGTCATTTGAAATCCAAGTCAACTTGTGTGAGCTCATGATCAGTTTCAAGTTTGAACCTCCTTGTATTCCTCCACTTTCTCTTTACCTTTGGAGTTCTAAATTTTGTTCTTTTTGTC